GGGGTGGGGGGGATACGTGGGAAACTGGGAGGGTGGGAGGGCGTGGAGATGGTCACATCTTCAGAGGTCAGGGGTGTGTGTATTTGTAGTCAGTTGTAGGGGGGGAGTGTTTTGGGTTATTGAGATCGGGGGTAAGAGAGGGGGCAGAGTATGAGTGTTTGGGGCCTTATCACCTTTCCACAAAAGTGTTAATTCTTTCTACCCTGACTGAACGTTTGTGTGTGTGTGTGTGTGTCACGAATGCCCTGAAAGTGGCAAACTTTACCCGGAATGAGCCACTATGAAGTTTTAAATATATATGATATACTGAACAAGAATTTGATAACATTTTACCTTACTCTGTACACCAGAATAATATATCAGAGAGGGTACCTACCAATCAGCCTCCCGCTCACACAACTAGATGAATAAGGACGATGTCTGGATGACGGGGTGATCCGTTATCGCCTCCCACGTGGTGATTCACTAAGTTCTAGTAGATAGATGATGGCGATTCTTCTCTATCTACACAAAACACACATACACACACACACACACACACACACACACACACACACACACACACACACACACACACACAAAGCACAAACAAAGTTCATGACACAATGCCTGTTGAACTCTCCAAACCAAACAACATGCAAATATTTTAGATCATGATCACAGTGCCTGTTGAATATTCCATCCTGTCCTGATATTCCACCCTTCCTATCCCGAAATTCCTTCCACCCCGATAATCCACCCTTCCATCTACGAACTACACACAATGCCAGCTGATTGACTGTTGAGCGGCGGGACCAAAAAACCAGAGCTCATTCCCCGCAAGCACAACTAGGCGAGTACACACACACACACACACGTATGTGTGTGTGTGTGTGTGTGTGTGTGTGTGTGTGTGTGTGTGTGTGTGTGTGTGTGTGTGTGTGTGTACTCGCCTAGTTGTGCTTGTGGGGAATGAGCTCTGGCTCTGGTTCCATAAAAAAAAAAATATGCAAATATATCACGGTTTATTACTCTTATAAAATTAATAAATGAACTTTGGAAAAAATGCTTTTTACAGATTTGCAGAGACATAAACTCTACATAAGAAGTGTACGTTTCAGTTAAATTGAATAAAAAATGAAAGAGTTATAGGAACGTTCATGTACTTGAAAATAAATAAGTAAAAAATATAGTCTAAGGTTCTGCCATCTGTGGCTGAGGTTGACATCAACCAATTTCCTCCAAAACTGGCACCCTTACAGATAGGCTTACGTGCGGTCAGGTGTATATATTTCATGGAAATCATTCGATAAACAAATAAGAAAAAATGAAAAAGAAACAACAACAAAATTTAACTATTTTTTTTTTTATAAAAATAATTATTAAATATTTTTATTATATGCTATTTTGATACCTGAGAGTCATAGACATGATTTCAGTTGACACTTGTGTTTGATGTTAATTTTTTACCATTTAGGAATTTTTTTGACACATAATTCATTTTTTTTTCTCCCTTCCTATTTATGCTACGATGCTGAGACTTGGACCAGATGAAACCCTTTTCATATACAACTCGTCAAAAAAAGTTTGAATGAAATTGAACTAACTTTCATTTATTGCATATTTGGCACTTATGCCCCATTAAGGGGTGTGCCTGGGCGTACTCAGTGTGCAGGCCCCAATCCTCTTCATTACATCAACTGATTTTCTCATACATCACGTTAATTTGATTTATTTGTTCATTATATTAACAGCAGATACTTTAAGGTGGAACTGTCTATGAACATTATATCAATAGTTCTCAAAAGTACTTTCATTTTGCTTATATCAATGAGGGTGGATTATTCCCTTTAATAATGACACCACACATACGCCTTAGGACCCAGATGAGCCCGTCATCCTAATAGACCGTCGCAATTTGACGTATACTCTACCTATGGCCGAAAATTGTCGTTATTGAAAATGGTATCGGCTCGGAAAATGTACAAACTGTCCTGTTTTCTGTTTTGAGCCCTGTGGTTGGTTAGGAGAGGACAATTTAGCTCGACGTTTCTAGACGTTCAGAAACCTTAGAAGGATGGGCTGTGAAGGGAGTAAGTAGTGTGGACAGTGCCTAAGGTTTGATGGGCAAACCTCACATCAGAAAGTGAAGGAACGATGGTGTTTCGGTCCGTCCTGGACCTTTATCAAGTCGTGTAATGTAATGGTCCAGGACAGTCTGAAACGTCGTTGTTTCTTTACTTTCTGATGTATGTCTTCCGCCATGTTACGGAGACTAAAGTTAGTTTCAGTTCCTGAACTTGTCGTGAGGAATCATGCCAAAAATGGAGAACAAGATTTAACATTTTCCTAACAAATGAGTTAGATTTATTTGGTCACTAACAAGTTTATTTATATTCACAAAGAAGTCACATTAACATGATGCATCAATGAGAAAATCAGTATTAACTGAGAGGAAGATTCGAACCTATGCTCTGGGTGCTTCCAAGCATCGCCTTAGACCACTACATCACGACATGGTCAATGGGAAGCTCACGGCTCCTAGTGATTTTCTCATTGATACATCACGTTAATGTGATTTCTTTGTATATATATAAAGAGAAGCATAGAAGGTAGAAATCCTGGACCACAAGACAGAGTGGATGTGGGGCATTGTGTCAAACCCTGTATAGGCTTCAGTAGAAGCCTCAGGAACCCTAAAGGATTCAGTTGAATCCCAGATTGCAATGCTTTTTGCTAAAATTTTGGTATAAAGCGTTTCGGAGGACCCAGAGCATAAATCGGTTTGACTCCTCTTCATGGCTCTTACTGATTTTATAGGTTATTTATATTAATTATTTTGGAGAACAAAAAAGCTACTGTGTTTCATCTTATTCATTTATTGCTCAAGTGATAGTGTTTAAGAGAATATAGTCTGGTTATGCAACAGCTGTTAAGATTTGTTAATTAGTCAGCTACTGAAAGTGCAATTAAATTCATACATTCTTTATTTGATGCATTCTGGGCTATTTTCACCATCTTGAGTTTCTAATTAAGAGACAAAAATAGAGCGGTTTATGAATCATCTTCTCTTTTGTTTGTTCGTGATTGATACTAAACAAAGACTTCTCAACCTGGGAACAAGAGCCTGAACTGTAAATTATTAATGTGACTTTATTTAGACATTTGTTCCTTATGAACCATCTAAACTAGTAAGTAGAGTGTAGCAAATGACATCATTCTGGTGGTACAAGTCTGAATCAACATTCTGTTTTAATTATTAATACAAAATATATAACTAGTAGAATATCGTGTAGCGTCTCTGAAGAATCATCAAATGTTTGATACAGTTGTGGTAAGATAGTAGAGCAACGTCGCGTGTGTGGCTGATGAGGCTTGGTGCCATCATTGGTTTATTACTCACGTCAACACGACGTCCCTTTGTACTTCATATTCGAAATCTATGATACTTACTTCTCGAATTTCTCAGGAAACAGGTGGTGTTGGGTCAGTACGATCAGTCCCCTAGCAGGTGTCCAAGTGGCTACGTGGACCACCTGCGGCCCCTGCTGGCTGTATGGCAGGTGTGTGTAGGTGTCCCATCTGCCGGAGGAAGAGGAAGTGTCAGAGCCCCCTGCTGGCTGTATGTCAGGTGTGTGTAGGTGTCCCATCTGCAGGAGGAAGAGGAAGTGTCAGAGCCCCCTGCTGGCTGTATGGCAGGTGTGTGTAGGTGTCCCATCTGCAGGAGGAAGAGGAAGTGTCAGAGCCCCCTGCTGGCTGTATGGCAGGTGTGTGTAGGTGTCCCATCTGCCGGAGGAAGAGGCAGTGTCAGAGCCCCCTGCTGGCTGTATGTCAGGTGTGTGTTGTTACTGATCGTACACAGATTGTATTATCTGGTACAGTGTTAATTATGGTCTAGGAACAATGACTGTATCTAAATATGATATACCAGAGTGCCCAGTGATTTAGTACAAGACAAGAAAAATATAACACCAGGTTATAGAAATATGGATGTAATATACGTATAAAATATAATATAATTAACAAACAAACTAAAAGCATGTAATCTCAAATCTACACAAAATGGTAATCACTTTGAATAACACTAGTGAATCAATGGCTGAATTAATAAGACTAAAAAACTTCCAGACAAATCAAAGCTACATTACTAAACAGATACTGATCACTTATAAACACACGCTTCCAGGGTGACGGCTGTCGGCTAACTGAACTCTCCCTCCGACACTACCCATAATTCTTGCTCCCCTCGCCTTCATCCAAGATACTGGATGGTAAACAAGGACTTCATAAAATAGAAATTTGAGAAAAAGCAATCGTTCTCATATGTATAAGAATGAAAACTATAATATCATTGGCATATGTAAATAATATAAGTTACAATGCCACATGCTTAATCACAGGAAATTAACAATAATATGAATATTAAAAGGTGACATCTGGAACTCCCATACCTGAACAGGTCCAGCATTCTAATCCCGTAACTAACAGGTAATAAACGTGTGACTAGAGCAAGCCCGCTCCTCTTCCAACTGTGTTGCCCAAGTATAAGACACATTACAAAAATATATATACATATACAGATAAATGAAGGAACTGAAATTAATAAGTATTATCATGAATTAATGTAAGTATCCAACTAGGGATACGTAATACACTTTCACCTCCGAAACAAATGCAATTGAGTGAAGATCAATGGCATTTTTTCTGAAGGGAAAAATGTATGACACTTGAAATGTATTGAATTAATCACGCATGTTCCTCTGTAATATGCAAATTCATCTCTCCAAGGTACTATCACAATAATTTCACTTAATTTTAGATCATATTTCAAACTCCCATCAACAATATTATTATTATATTCATGAATAGAACTGTCAATAAACGTAACTGCTTTCACAAAGTCTATACCACAAATTATCTTCCCTCTGTTTATACTATTGATCTTATATCAGTCCCATAGTTCCATCTTATCAATTTTCTATAAGGTGAAATTTTCCAAGATACATTCCATTTTCCATTACTCCTTATTTCAGGAGCTGAACAGCTTAATTGTAGCTGACTGGACGTAAAGTGGTTTATGGACTCCTGGGTATGCCCTGGTAAGGACATCTGCTTCCCATCACATTTGATCCTCTGTGGAACACATACCCTCACCCAATTGATACTATAAGTAGAAAAAAGAGAGTTAAACCTCACAAATACATATAAAACTTCTTCACTCGAAGAACCTTCAGAGCACAACACAACGACTTAGCAAACCTTTGATCACCAATCCAACAAATACAACCCACAAAGATTAGTGCAAAGACTACCTGATCGAACTGACTCAGATGACCCTCAAGGAACACGTAAATCAATTTCTTCATAACTCTGTCATAATGAAAACAGCACTATTCCTATGCACCATATCCCAATCATAACTCCCAAAACAGGTTCACACCCTCTGATGGTGGACTTGAATACAACCCACACCTTCATAAACATTCTGGTCTTCCAAGAAGATAACAAAAACATGGTGAAACCTTGACAACACTTACCATGGATTTCACTCCGTAAGTGACTTCCTTCTGGTGACAAACAATTAAACAAGAGGTTTAAGGGTCTTATCATCTTGAAGATGCTCAGCAGATTCCCTGGGAACTACCCAAGGACAATCTGTAACCCTTCACACTTATTAAAACAAATAGGTGGGATAACCTGGTCCCCCAACTTGAAACATACACCTGGAACCTTGAACATCTGCTCCAAAGTCTGATTAAATCCTTCAACACCAATTTGACTCTGAAAGTCAATACAACACTTGAGTGGAACATACATGTTGTTCACTACTCGTACAACAAAGTAAACTGGATATGAAGGTAAAGACACTGCTCTAGTATGACTCACCACTTCCTCAGGACAACTGGATGCACAACATACTTGAGTAAACTCTCTGCTCAACCACAAGGCTGGTCTAAGATGTCTCACAGTCCATTACTTCAAGGGAGAATGGCTAATGCGGAATATAAATAGATGGCAAGAACATCCTAAGAACACTCTGACTCAATTTACACAAAGAGAAATACTTACTCCCCATGGAATAGGAATCACAAGCCACAAAACTCTACAACTTAGGTCTAAAAGAAACTTTACCACCCTTAATGGTTACACACGATTTACCAAAGCTTCCTCCCATGACATCTGGAGCTGCTTGGAGTACTGTCTGTTCACAATTAATGACACTACCAAGCTGGGTCACATCCTCACAGACAACTGAAGAGGGAGGCTCAATAGGTCTCCATCAACTCACTAGAAGCTGATCCTCTGACTTCTCTCCCACACTCTTCAATACTGGAACTACAGTACAGACTGTCTCCTGGCTATTCTCTGAAATCTTGGGGTCAGTTCTACTCAACTTACAAAAATCAAATGATTCGAAATCTGAAGCGAGCGGGCAAGTAACAAGTAATTTGGCCTCCTCCTCTTTACTACCAACAATATTAGGGTGAGGCGGGGCCGCTACAACAGACTCACTCCGGACATCAGATTCTGGGTCAACTGATTCTAAATTTGGAGTGAGCAGGAAAACTTCTGCCAACCCGACTTCTTGTAATAGAGTCATGGCATCTACGTTTCTCTCAACTCCTGGCACAACGTTCATAGAGAGCGGGCAAGACAATGGCACATGGACATCCTGTCCCAAATCATCTACTGGATTGGAATAAAGCGGGGTCATAGTACCAGGCTTACTCTCAACAACGAGGTTGGCCACACATGAATCTTGAACAACCACACACACAGAGATCACACTAACGTGATGCATCAAATGAACAAATCCACAAGGGCCGTGACGAGGATTCGATCCTGCGTCCGGGAGCATCCCAAACCACATCCCACTTCTCCTCTGAAGGGGTACTGGTTTCTGGAACAAATACTTGAGTAATATCCGAACTGACAACTGGATCAATAATAGTACTGACATCAGCACAGGTTGGGTGGACAATACCATCCACTACAACAGGTCGTTCATCCATAGAACTAAACTCAGCACAGGCAGGATAGACAAGTTCTGCAACTGGCTGTTTAAGCAAACTGGGATCAATCTCCCCTACAACATGATTTATTGCCACATTATTACCTAAAATAACATCCACAACTGTGTACTATCACCAACAGTGGGCAACTGTGTACTATCACCAACAGTGGGCAACTGTGTACTATCACCAACAGTCGGCAACTGTGTACTATCACCAACAGTGGGCAACTGTGTACTATCACCAACAGTGGGCAACTGTGTACTATCACCAACAGTGGGCAACGGTGTACTATCACCAACAGTGGGCAACTGTGTACTATCACCAACAGTGGGCAACTGTGTACTATCACCAACAGTGGGCAACTGTTTACTATCACCAACAGTGGGCAACGGTGTACTATCACCAACAGTGGGCAACGGTGTACTATCACCAACAGTGGGCAACTGTTTACTATCACCAACAGTGGGCAACGGTGTACTATCACCAACAGTGGGCAACTGTGTACTATCACCAACAGTGGGCAACGGTGTACTATCACCAACAGTGGGCAACTGTGTACTATCACCAACAGTGGGCAACTGTGTACTATCACCAACAGTGGGCAACTGTGTACTATCACCAACAGTTGGCAACTGTGTACTATCACCAACAGTGGGCAACTGTGTACTATCACCAACAGTGGGCAACTGTGTACTATCACCAACAGTGGGCAACTGTGTACTATCACCAACAGTGGGCAACTGTGTACTATCACCAACAGTGGGCAACGGTGTACTATCACCAACAGTGGGCAACGGTGTACTATCACCAACAGTGGGCAACTGTGTACTATCACCAACAGTGGGCAACGGTGTACTATCACCAACAGTGGGCAACGGTGTACTATCACCAACAGTGGGCAACTGTGTACTATCACCAACAGTGGGCAACTGTGTACTATCACCAACAGTGGGCAATTGTGTACTATCACCAACAGTGGGCAACTGTGTACTATCACCAACAGTGGGCAACTGTGTACTATCACCAACAGTTGGCAACTGTGTACTATCACCAACAGTGGGCAACTGTGTACTATCACCAACAGTGGGCAACTGTGTGCTATCACCAACAGTCGGCAACTGTGTACTATCACCAACAGTCGGCAACTGTGTACCATCACCAACAGTGGGCAACTGTGTACTATCACCAACAGTGGGCAACGGTGTACTATCACCAACAGTGGGCAACTGTGTACTATCACCAACAGTGGGCAACTGTGTACCATCACCAACAGTGGGCAACTGTGTACCATCACCAACAGTCGGCAACTGTGTACTATCACCAACAGTGGGCAACTGTGTACCATCACCAACAGTGGGCAACTGTGTACTATCACCAACAGTGGGCAACTGTGTACCATCACCAACAGTCGGCAACTGTGTACTATCACCAACAGTCGGCAACTGTGTACCATCACCAACAGTGCATAATCCTGGGGTAATGGTGGATCTCAAATTAACATCTATCAGACGTACAGTTTTACATCCTGCAACACTCTGAAGTACTACAGACTTTCTAGTATCTCTCTTTGCAACATTAGAGAGTACATAGGCAGAAATTAATGTTTGGGAAGCACCAGTATCACGAAGAAGAACCACTGGCTTTCATTTCCCATTTACACACAGAACTTTGCCTGAAAACATATATGGAGAATAATGTTTTGCCCAATTGGAGTCTACAGTGACATGTTCATTAGTAAATTTATTCTGCACACTTCTACAATAAATGAGACCAGTAGGTCGTAATTCAGGGTGTAAACTAAAACAAAAATTAATATGTCCTTTCCTCTTACTTATGAGTATAGTACCTTTCAGTGGAACCCACTGTAGGGTTAGAATTACCATTACTAGGATTTAATGTTCCTGGCAATGGAGTAGCAAGGTTAGGTTTTGTAAGAGAAGAGTTCATGGGAGTAGCTGGAGCACTAGTACTGGGTTTATGTGGATAAGTATTCCTGTGAGCATTGTAATTTACTCGACTGGTGAAATTAGTTGATTGAGCTTTAAAATGTGTCTTAGTTATCACTTCATGTTCGTCAGCGAGCTTAGACAGCTCATAAATATCTGTTAAGTTTTTCTGTTCTGCCATAAAAGTAGATAATCTGTCTGGAAGACATGATAGAACTTCTTCTGTAATAAGAAGATTTTTATGAGCATCAAACTCTGAAATAGAAAGTGATTTCAGCCATCTGTTACAATAATTAGTTTTTAACCTGGTGAAATCTGCAATTGTTTGTTCACTTGCCCTCTTTAAATTTCTAAACTTCTGCTGGTGTGCTTCAGGGTTCAACAGGTAAGCATTGAGGATGTTGTTTTTATCAAAATTGTAATCGAAACTGTTTGCATCAGGCCAGGATGCAAACACTTCCTGGCTTTTTCCCCTGAGTTGGCTCTGCATAATAGCTACCCACTGGTCCATTGGCCAGTTCATACTAACTGCAATTTCGAGAAATGTGAAAAGAAAACCTCCGGGTCCTCCTCATTGAACCGTGGTAACTCGACATACTTATTTACCTTTAGTTGGGTACTGTCATTATTATTAGGAACATTGCTAGTATTTCCATGTCCAGCTGCCAGTCTCTGTGTTTCTTCTCTATTATTATTCTCAGCTATTTGCTTTTTAATTTCTAACTGCCTAGTTTGTTCTTCTGCTTGTTGTTTCTTTGTTGTTTCTAATTGCAACTGAGCTATAAGTCTATTATTTTGTGCCTCCATTTCTCTCTGTTGTTGTCTCTCTTTAGCCTCAAATTCCCTCTGTTGAGCCTCAAGGTCTAATATTTTCTGTTGTTTTTGAGCTCCAAGTTCTCTCTGTTTTGTTTCGGCCTCTAATATTTTCTGTTGCCTTTCAAATTCGAATTCTTTCTCACGAGCCTCAAGCCAAGGATATTCTACTTGAGTTTCCAGCTCAAGATGCTTTAAAGCAATCTGCTCACTTGTCTTTTCACTTACCTCATTCAGAAGTTCTTCCCCTTCCCCTAGTTTACCATCTTCTACTTGATGGGTCACTATGACTCTCACATTTTTTTCTTAAACAGTGCCATCTGTTGGACGTAAGAGCAACACACGCTGTAATCTCTGAAAGTTCTTCACCGATTTCATTGAAATTTTGACTCAACGTTCCATTCGAATACGCGCATGTTTTTATATACCTACTATATAGATGCCACTCCTGTGGCAGATAAAAACATGTGTTTTTGAAAAACTGCACCTTCTGTTGCTCATAAGACCAACACATGCTATTCAGAATATGTTATGATTCCATTTCAATGTTTCCAATTTCATTGATAAATTGAATTTTCATACATTTCGATTTATTATAATTTTTATTTAAATATTTTGTGTGACATTGCCTTGGAATTGAGCTGTGTTGTTTACCATACCGTTCATTTTGTGAGTATAGTTTATTTTTTTATTTTTTCATTATTTTTCATTTCTTTTTTTAAATGTTTTTCTTATATTTCAGTGATGGTATCATCTGAGGCCAGATTCACGAAGCAGTTACGCAAGTACTTACGAACCTGCACCTCGTTCTTCAATCTTTGATGGCTTTGGTTACATTTATTAAACTGTTTACAAGCATGAAAACTTGCCAATCAACTATTGTTATTGTTTTAAACAGCCTCCTGGTGCTTCGGAGCTCATTAACTATTTAATAATTGTAAACAAAGCTGCCCAAGATTGAAAAAAATTGTACAGGTTCTTAAGTGTTTGCGTAACTTTTGTTGTAACTTCTTCGTGAATCTAGCTCCAGATCATTTGATGTTTCCAATTTTCTGATGGGAACATCAGATCATTTGATCATCAGACGAGGGAGTGGGGAATGGTGGGAAGGACGAGGGGACGGGAGTGGTGGATGGTGGGGAGGACGGGGGAAAGGGGAGGGGGTAATGGTGGGGGAGGACGAGGGGGATAGGGGAGTTGGGGATGATGGGGACGAGTGAGAATGGAGAATGGTTGAGAGGACAAGGGGATAGGGGAATGGGGGGATAGTAAGGAGGACGAGGGGACGGGGGAGTTTGGAATGGTAGGGAGGACGAGGGGACGGAGGAGTAAGAGACAGTGGGGAGGACGAGGGGACGAGGGAGTGGGAAATATTGGGGAGGACGAGGGGATGGTGGAGTGGGGAATGGTTAGGAGGACGAAGGGATGCTGGAGTAGAGGATGAAGGGGAGGAAAAAGGGACGAGAGAGTGAGGAATGGTTGGGAGGATGAGGGGACGGGGGAGAGGGGGGATGGAAGGGGAGGACTGGAAGACAGGGGAAGGTGGAGCGCTGAGCCACAGCAAAGCGTGGCCGGGTACAGCTAGTAAAAAATAAAATTAAATACAGTCCATTCTAATAATCGAGAATTAAATACTTTAATCACTGGTAGATTTCCCCATACCAGGTGGTGCAGAACCTTGAGAATGTTGGCCACAACAGTAAAATGTGTAAAACAGTTTAAAACAGTTTACATTACAGTAAATCCACCCCATGTCACGACAGTGTTGCAGGCTCTAATGCAACACCGATGTAATGGTCTGATGACCATTCCCACCAGACTTGGTCAAGACCAGAGATGTGCCTTCTTGCATGGGTCCCCACTTTGAACAAGTCTGATGAATAATAGAGGGCAGGCAATCCAGAAGAGGGGCGCATACTCTAGATGAAAGCAAAATTGTTCTTCCCATAAGGTTTTGCAGCCTCTGTTGTTAAGTAGGTGTTATCTTGAGGTTTTCTTGAGATGATTTCGGGGCTTTAGTGTCCCCGCGGCCCGGTTCTCGACCAGGCCTCCACCCCCAGGAAGCAGCCCGTGATAGCTGACTAACTCCCAGGTACCTATTTACTGCTAGGTAACAGGGGCATTCAGGGTGAAAGAAACTTTGCCCATTTGTTTCTGCCTCGTGCGGGAATCGAACCCGCGCCACAGAATTACGAGTCCTGCGCGCTATCCACCAGGCTATGAGGCCCCTTAAATGTGTGTGAAATGCGTCATTGGGCTGTAAGTTCCCTGGCTGCCTTTTGGGCTAGGTTAAGCATGTGGCTGTTCATTGTCATTGAAGAGTCGAACTTCATTCCCTAAAATGTCAATTTCATCTATGAACTCTAGGTTTTTATCACCCATTTGCAGGTCTGTCAAATTTGCTAAGTGCAGTTTAGGAATCATCATCGCCTGTGTTTTTTCAGTTGCAAATGTGACCTGCCATCTCCTTTCCATTGTAGAAATTACTGAAAGTTGTGATTGATGAGTCTTGTAGCAGTTGGAATTTCTTTCTGTATGTATGTAAAGGTTAGTGTGCAGTCATCAGCATAGGCTTAAGCTTTAGATGAAATGATGAAATAGATCGTTGAAAAGTGAATTCTGCAGCAGTGGGTTATGAACACTACCCTGTGGAATGCTGGCAACAATTGAGTGCCTTTCTAATTCTGCTCCATTGAAGGACCCCTCTAATCTGTAGAGTCCGTTCTTGAAGAAAGTCTTTTATTAACTCTAAGATGGAGACTGAGATGCCTAGTACTTGAAGCTTTAGTACTAATCCAGAGTGCCAAATCCGATCAAAGGCTCCTGCTATGTCTACAGCTACAACACAGCTGATCCTGGACTCATCCAGTGACTGATGCCACTTAGTGGAGAGATTTGGCAAGAGACCAGCTGCAGATCGGCCTTTTCTAAAACTACATTTTCGATCACATAATAGCAGATGATGGGCAAAAATTATATCTTTACTGGGAGATTAATTAGTCGAGAATTTTGGCAGTAATAGAGAGCAGTGACACTGGTCTGTAGTTACTAACCACTGAACGGCACTTCTTTTTGTGCACTGGAACAACATCTGCCTTCTTCCATAAGGAGGGCTAAATTCCTTGAACTAGGCAGAGCTGTAAGAGGCACGTGAGAGGTGGAGCCAACAGGTCAACACAGCTGCGCAGTAGTCGTAGACTGAGCTTATCTGGCCACACAGCTTTGCTTGTGTCTAGAGTTTTAAGGAGATGGAGAACGTCAGCCTGCTGTATAACCACTTCAGTCATCCTAGACACAGTGCTTTGGGTAAGATGTGGAGGCTGACATTCCGGATCAGGGACTTGTACCCTGGCAGCAAAGTGGTTTGCCAGTACATCAGCTTTCTCCTGATTGTTAGTTGCAACAGTTCCATCTTCCTTGTTTAGAGGCGGGATAGTTTCTTCAGATGAAAATCTCTGCCGATCTTTAACCAGGGATCACCAGACATTGGATCCAACTCTTCCAGATGTAAGTTTTCTCGAGTTTCTGATTAATATCTGGATATAGCCCACTTTTGAACTTCTTTTATTACACAACAAGATCGTCTATGAATGTTTCTGTTATGAACCGAGGGATGCCGTTTATATCTCCTCCAGACCTTGTTTTTGGCTTCAGCTGCCACCCGGCAGCGATATCTAAACCAAGCCTGATCACTGGGCTTGGTCACATACTGCCGGTGAGGGATATGCCTATACTGGAGGTCCAGTATACGACTGGTGAAAGTGTTGGCTTGGCTGTTGACGTCCCCCTAGACCAAGGCATTCCAATCGACAACCTGTCCTCAGACCAAGTCCATTTCATCCATCGGTCGACCACAAATATGCATACATCAATTTTAATATACTGTTCCTTTAAAATATGAATTTTCTCATATATATATATATATATATATATATATATATATATATATATATATATATATATATATATATATATATATATATATATATATATATACATATATATATAAATGAAAACTCACACCCCAGAAGTGACTCGAACCCATACTCCCAGGAGCAACGCAACTGGTAACTACAGGGCGCCTTAATCCGCTTGACCATCATGGCCGGACAAAAAGGAAGTGATAGCCAAAGCTATTTGAACCACTTCCCCGCCGGCACTCGGATGGTAATCTTGGGCATAGCATTTTATCAAATCACCTCATTCTTTGGGGCACATGTGAGGAACACAAATGCGAACAAGTCTGAATGGTCCCCAAGCATACATGCAAGTGAAAACTCACACCCCAGAAGTGACTCGAACCCATACTGCTAGGAGCACTATGCAACTGGTGTACAGGGCAACTAATCCACTCGACCATCTTGACCAGACAAAAGCTGATGGTAGCCGAGGCTATTTTCCCATCAGCCCGCCGGCACTCTGTTGGTAATCTTGGGCATGGTATTTTATCAAATCACCTTGTGATTTGAGATGCGTGGTTTCCTCCGAGGCTATGGGTCCCCCTTCTTCCAGCTAGAGGTGGTACTCTTTTTAAAATTATATATATATATGTATATATATATATATATATATATATATATATATATATATATATATATATATATATATATATATATATATATATATATGTCGTACCTAGTAGCCAGAACGCACTTCTCAGCCTACTATGCAACGCCCGATTTGCCTAATAAGCCAAGTTTTCCTGAATTAATATATTTTCGCAATTTTTTTTCTTATGAAATGATAAAGCTACCCATTTCATTATGTATGAGGTCAATTTTTTTTTATTGGAGTTAAAATTAACGTAGATATATGACCGAACCTAACCAACCCTACCTAACCTAACCTAACCTATCTTTATAGGTTAGGTTAGGTTAGGTTAGGTTAGGTAGCCGAAAAAGTTAGGTTAGGTTAGGTTAGGTAGTCGAAAAACAATTAATTCATGAAAACTTGGCTTATTAGGCAAATCGGGCCTTGCATAGTAGGATGAGAAGTGCGTTCTGGCTACTAGGTACGACATATATATATATATATATATATATATATTATATATATATATATATATATATATATATATATATATATATATATATATATATATATATATATATATATACATATATATATATAATTTTAAAAAGAGTACCACCTCTAGCTGGAAGAAGGGGGACCCATAGCCTCGCAGGAAACCACGCATAACTCATTAGAGGGAATGTTTAGATCCCCTCCAATACAGTTTCTGTGTGCTTTTCTCCTACCACCTCCTTCCTTTTTTATTTTTTGTGCTTTATTATGTATTTGATGGTTACAAGATATACATGGGTTGATACAAAAATAATAATGCAAAAAGGTGCTTAGAGGTTATAGATCTCTTGAAAAACACGACAATGGGAAACATTGATGAATGTCACAGACGGGTTCGATCATTGTTGCAAGTCAAACACTTCTTCGAATTCCTCTGAAGTTGGACTAGTGCCCACGACGCAACAAGCATTTCCCCTCTGAATCGCAACACTGAGGCGCTGGAACAATGAACTTTTTGCTCTCTGGTCTTTTGTAGCGCTGATCAATTTGTCCCCCAATTCCTTCAAGAACTTCAATGCACATTTTCCCCACGAATCGAGGGTCTCCGAGCCGATCGGAACAAAGCTGTAGCAGTGTGCTAGATCTCTGTATTTAATAATTTTCTGCGATTCCCTGAAAGAAGCAGCACCACCGCTTTCACGTGTGCTGTAGTGGAGGTAGGTACTGGCCAGTGGGGCAGCACACGTGTAGTCCCATACCACTTGCTTACCATCCTTCCAAGGTAGCAAGGTGACCCCATCTGGGCGCTTCTGAGGGTCGGTAGGTCTGGATAAGTGTGGTTCTCTTTGTGCCAGGCAGTGGGCTGTGGCGAGGCTCCTCTTGATGATGTCGTTGACTTCTTCATGTCTTGCAATTTTACCCTGTGATTTACGACATACCAGACCATGATGACCATATTGGTCTGCCATTGCAGTTTCGCAGATGCACCTATGTTCGGTGAGGATGGGGGCGGCAAGGCGAAGGGCAACTCCAATGCGGAGAGTGTCACGACTGAGGCGAGATCCCAGGGCTGCATTGGGCACAGCAAATAAAAAATCCCCGGCGTGGGGTGCTGTTACCGCTAGGAGGCGGGCTTTGTTTTCAGCATCAGCGTTGTCAATCATTGCTGTGACAGTCTTTTCCATAATGGGGCTATCCCAGTGGGCCTGCTTGTGGTCTTTTGGGACTTATGGCCGGGGTTGAGGGTGTGCAATGGTGTCCCATTGTCTGGCTGCTTCGATGAACGTTTGATCATGAGTTCCCGCAGTCTCTCTCATACGCTCTGGTAGGATCTGCCCTACCAATTCGTTGGCTGCTGTACATGAGGATAAGAATGCTGGAAGTGCTACCTCAGTTGCCTTTCGTATGCCTATCCCTCCAAATCTCACTGGTAGTGTTGCTTGGTCCCACTGACTGTCATCTAAATCCAGGTTGAGCGCCTTCCTGAATATTGACCTGAGGAGCTCATCATATTGATGTAGAAGTGGGTTGCCAAAAGTTGGTGCACACCTTAAGAAGTATGTTAGCCTGGGCAAGGTAAGGCACTTTGTGAGAAGGTAGAGGGCATCGTGGGAGTCCAAGTCCCCTATTCTCTCTTCCATCCTCTTTAGGTCTCTAAACTTTTCGTCAAGGACTGCAGCAATGGCATTGTGGCCCAGAGGTGCTCGGAGTAGTGTGCTGTCGGTGGGTTTTATATATATATATATATATATATATATATATATATATATATATATATATATATATATATATATATATATATATATATATATATATATATATACACACATATATATATATATATATACATACAACTTTAGAACACTTTCCCACCAGGATACTCAAACCCTAGCCAGCACAGAAGCCTTCCAGCAACTGGCATAACAGGTACACCTTTAACCCACTGCCCCACCGCTCAGACCCTTAAAAGAGATGGTAATTTCGGAGTATTTATACACACCAAAGACCACCATCTCCTAAGAGCACTAGAGCAAGTGAGGGGTCATTTTTACATTTTTCATCAAGTCCCTGTTAATATGGGAGAACACTGTGTCTATGCTTGATGCACAACTCTCCTAAACACGAGAGGGAAGTTATACAACTTTAGAACACTTTCCCACCAGGAGACTCGAACCCTAGCCAGCACAGAAGCCTTCCAGCAACTGGCATAACAGGTACGCCTTTAACCCACTGCACCACCGCTCAGACCCTTAAAAGAGATGGTAATTTCGGAGTATTTATACACACCAAAGACCACCATCTCCCAAGAGCACTAGAGCAAGTGAGGGGTCATTTTTACGTTTTTCATCAAGTCCCTGTTAATATGGGAGAACACTGTGTCTATGCTTGATGCACAACTCTCCTAAATACGAGAGTGAAGTTATTTAACTTTAGAACACTTTCCCACCAGGAGACTCGAACCCTAGCCAGCAAAGAAGCCTTCCAGAAGCCTATATATATATATATATGTATGTATATATATATATATATATATATATATATATATATATATATATATATATATATATATATATATATATATATATATATATATATATATATATATATATATATATATATATATATATATATATATATATATATATATATATATATATATATATATATACTAGTATATTTGGGTAGCAGTCTTTCTTGTAAACATATTTTATTAAATAAGACTGAAAAAGTAAGATTAACAATTCTAACACGAATTTTCTGAATTTTTCTTATGTTTCTTTTCACTGTTGATGGTAATTGAAAATCAATTCTCCAAAATTAATTTTTATTTCTAGTCTGACGCGACACTTGAACGCGTTTCGTAATAACTTATTACATTTTCAAACACTTTAGTCTCCACACACACACAACTATAACCTGCAAACACTAAACAGAGTCCTACTATGCTATAATTTAAACGGCTTTCATTTTATATACCTGCATTTGGGTGAGGTGATATGTTACAACAGTTTTGGATGAGGTGAAAACATAAGACAGAACATGAAACAATGGGTATAATATTGGGTGGTAAGTTTAAAGGGAAGAATGGAAGTAACTGCAAAGGGCCTATTGGCCCATATTTCTTGATGCTTCTATATTGGTGCGGAGTCTTGAAGTGGGTAGAATATAGTTGTGCATTAATTGGCTCTTGATTGCTGGTGTTGACTTCCTGATGTGTAGTGCCTCGCAGATATCCTGGCCAGTATGTGGGGGTGAAGACCAATATTCGTACCCTAGGGATGCACCTGCAGTCGGATATTCCTTCCTCTGTCCGGCTTTTAGGGTACTATGTACGGGTGTACTATGCACGACAATCGCATACGTGTTTTCGTTGTGGCCTGTTGGGCCATCAAGCTGCCGGGTGCACTGCAGAGGCGGGTGCTCCCGTGAACATGTTTAAAGAAGAGGATTTCCCGCCGCTCCCTCTGAAGGAGGACTCCGGGGGTGAGGGGGTGAGTGACCCGTTGCATGCTGCGGCTCCCCTTGCGTCGCCTGTTCTGCCTTCGGTTGTTGAGGACCCTTCTCCGGGCGTTTCCGTGCCGTCGGAGGTGCTTCCTGTTCCCGTCCCTGTCCCCGCTGCTCCCGGTGACCTTCCGGGTTTTCTCTGTGCGTCGTCGGTGCTATCATCTTCCTCGTCTTCTGCTCCTGCACCTAGCCTTGCGCCCTCGTCTGGTGTTATGTCTGTGATGGGTGCTGGGGTGGCGGTGCCGCCGCCTGCTGTGTGCAGTCCGGTTCCACCTGTGGTTGAGGCTGCTGCTGTTCTGCGTTGGGTGGCGGCTCGTCCGGCTGGTGGTGCCAGTGTTTCTGGGTCCGCATCCGGCTCGGACGATGTGCGCCCGAAGCCCAAGCGGTCCCGGCTTTCGTCTTCTGCCTGGGCTGATGTGGGTGACTTCAGTGACTGTGGGTCTTCGGGTGTTGAGGTGGATCCTGTTGCATCGATGTCTACGGAGTTAGTGGTGGCGGAGGTCCATGTGCCTGCTGGTACTGGTACACGTGACTCAGCCGTGCCTCCTGTTCCTTTGCTTCCAGGGGGCTCTCCGCGGTGGGGGGTGGTGGCTTCCGCTGCCAGGGATGGTATGAATACTGGTCCTGGGCGTGGCCTAGTGGTTACCTTACGGAAGGATGCACGCCGTCCGGTGCCTGTGGCCGATGCTCCTGTGGTGGTATCCTTTGCCAAGCCCATTCCTGTGCTGATGTGCATTGATGGCCTGGAGGACGTGTTGCCGGTGACTGTGATGCCGCCGGATCACTGGGCGTTGATTGCCGAGTTAATGCTGTCGGATGATCTGGACTGCTTTCATGCTGGGCGGGTTCCCGTCATGTGGGGACGCGAGGCGACTACGCGCCTCGTTAGTACTACCATCTGGATCCCCTGTGTGCGGGTGTTTGTTTACGGGGTTCCGGAGGTTATGGCTTCCCCTGTAGATGTGCTGGACCCTCAGCGGTGGTTGCTCTGGAAAGCGTTCAATGTGCGGTTCTTGCGGGCCCGGTTCCCGGGCAAGTATGTTCACTGATTATCTGTGCCTCTGATTATGTTGTACTGTGTGCCCCTCTGATTATGTTGTACTGTGTGCCCCTCTGGCTATGATGTTTGCCCTATTGTGTTCTGTGCTTGTGCCTCTCCTTTTGTTTATTGCAGGGCCGGTAGTTAGTTGTGTGTGTTCTTGTTAAATGTTTGTGTTGTAATTGTGCCATGTGTGGCTTGTGTTTGTTTTTCTTGGTTTGTTGTATATTTTGCTTTTCTTGTTATATTTTATGTTGTTATCTTTATGCCTTACCTGTATGTCATGATGATTATGTTTGTTTGGTTTCATGTGTTATTGTGTTTCGTGTATTGCTAGCCTGTTTACATTGTTTTCTCTTGTGTTCTGTTTTGTCCTGATGTTGCTTGTTGTTTGTACTGTACTGTCGGTCCTTCTGGCTGGTGTTTTTTTTTTTTTTTTTTTTTTTTGCTTGTTATTATGTTTCTTCTGTTATTTTATTGTATTTATTGTATTTACCTTGCATGCTTGCATGTAAAAAAAAAAAAGCTGAACCGCTTGTTTAAGACTGCCGACGATAGTTACCTGCACATTAGCGCCATCTACACTAGGCCTGGCTGCATATATAAGCAGATCACCACCTGCCAGACCTCAGAATACCCTTCGTGCTCTCACAGCCATAACATCTACTGTCGCCTTCCCATGAACCAGTATATGCGTACGGCTATTGTATATTGTGTTTTGCGCCTTTCTTTGCCAGTAACGTAACTGTCATATGTTTGTTTATTTTTCTTTTGCATTTTATATTGTGGTAATGCCAAGTAGAATATGGGAATTGTTGTATTTTTTGTTATAGTCCTTTTTGTTATATCAATTATTTAAAGTTTTTCATTCTTTTGGATTATACCCGCAACTCTCACACCGTACAGAAGTCAAAAGCAGTTTTATTTACTTTGTTTTACTTTTTTATTTAATGAGATTGTCTAATAATTGGTTGTCAAATTTAAATTTAATTTGTTGTCTAATTATCTTTGATATATCCTGTGTTCTTCACCTTATTCTCGTCCCTACAGAAGAGGTTCTCACTTGGGCAGATCCCCTCGTGTACTCTGGTATTTTGGTTTGTCTCCGGGCTATTATGCCTACTCTTTGCAACCCGAACTTAGGAGGAAGTACTGGACCATAGTTCCTCTCACATCTAGGACTTCGCTGTATGGTTGGGACCCGTACAGCAGTTCTCATCAGTATTGACACTCACAACACCCCTACGCTTCGGTCAGATATCACGGTAATTACCCAGGTAGGGAGTTTACCATTCTTTTCCAGAGCACAAAGAGTGATAACTCTGGAAGTATTATCTAGTTAAAGTAGGACACCTCTTGCCCTTATCCTCGTCATTTATAGAGTACCGGGTAAAAAATCCCTATTTCCTCGAAATACTTAGTTTCACCCTTTATGATATAAACACTCAATTTAATTATTCAATTCTTGTAACCTTGACTTATAATCATTAATATAACACAGGATAGTTTTAAAGTTTCCACGTCATCCTGTCAATCTAACACATCATATATTGGTTCATATATTGAAGGTAATTCTCTGCATATTACTTGTCCCTAATTCATTTACCATGTTTTGCCTTGCCGCATTCAGACATAACCCAGAAGATGAAGTGGGCACACTAGTCCGGGCTACCAAGGTGGAACTGTTTACTCTAGTAAAAGAGTATCATATTACTCCTCCTCATGGCGTCACTAAAACTGATCTCCATAACCTCATACTAGATGTTTTAGTAGACAATGATCGAATCACATCGGTGGCTCATGAACAACATCTGATTGCAGATAAGAACGCCCTGGCAACCATGAGTTGAAAATAGAGATTGCCAACATAGAATGCGAACGTCTGAAGGAGCAAGCTGTTCTTCAGAAGGAAGCTCTCTTACCTGAAGAAAGAAGAAGGGCTTCAGAAGGAAGCTCACTTACCTGACTTCAGGTAAGAGAACGAGCCGAACTCCAACGTGAACACAAAAAGGAAGCTTTTCAGGTAGGAGAACAAGATCTTGAACTTCAACGTGAACGTGAGAGGAAACAAGCTGAACTCCAACGTGAACGTGAAAAGGAAACTTTTCAGATAAAAGAACGTGAAACTGAACTTAAACTTCAGATCGCTGAAAACCAAGCTGCACTACAACGTGAACATGAGAGGAAGCAAGCTACCCTCCAGAGGGAACAAGTTGAACTTCAACATAAACGTGAAAAGGGGGCTCTTCAGGTAAGAGAACAAGAACTTGAACTCCAACGTGAATGTTATGGACTCGTTACCCTGGTCAGGGGGTAGAGTGGCAGTTCCAGAGCCATCTACGAGTCCGCACCCGAACTGCCCAGGAATCGTACGTAATATGGACAATGCCATCTGGTGGTGGCTATCTAAAACCTGTAAATAGATTAAGATTCTTGCCTTGGTCAGCCAGAGGGGTCGTTGTGAGCGACCTCTGGTGAGATGGCGAAGCAAGACCAGCGCCACCTATTGTGTGCTATGTTACATATTCCTTTTCAAGGAATACTCACATTGATGTACAGTGTAAGGTTGATTAAGTTTAGTTCTTGCATGGGGGCATGTATGTATATTCTTGTAATGTGTCATATATCTTGGCAACACAGTTGAACAGGAGTGTGGTGCGCGATCTAGTCACACGTCCAGGACCTGTGAGTTTCGTGATTATAAATTTTGATCTTGTTCAGTTGTGTAGTTGCCAGGAGTTTCCTCTTTATTATTATACATAAATATATTTGTTTTATATAAAATATGTTACCTGTGTTGATGCATGTCAACCTGACCAATCATATTTAAGTTATTTTAATGTTTGCCTTAACCCAGTTATATTGCTCATTTAAGAAAGATAATTTTATATATATTTACCACTTGTTATGTTGTGGAGAGGGCGAGAGAGGCTCCGACGCCAGTTTGAGTTAGTATCTGAGAGCCGTTCCAAGAGTCAACTGGTCTGGTAAGTTTTGTCACTTTTATATTCTGTATTTTGACTTAGTAGTTACAATTATCTGGCGAGCATACTTTATTATATTATAATACTTTAGTAGGCCATCTCATTACTGTTATACCTGAAGGATAATATTATTTTGATATATATATATATATATATATATATATATATATATAATATATATATATATATTATATATATATATATATATATATATATATATATATATATATATATATATATATATATATAACTGAAAACTCACACCCCAAAAGTGACTCGAACCCATACTCCCAGGAGCAACGCAACTGGTATGTACAAGACGCCTTAATCCACTTGACCATCACGACCGGACAAAATGAGGTGATAGCCGAGGCTATTTGAACCACCCCACCGCCGGCACTCCGATAGTAATCTTGGGCATAGCATTTTACCAAATCACCTCATTCTTTGGGGCACACGTGAGGAACACAAATGCGAACAAGCCTGAATGGTCCCCAGGACAATATGCAACTGAAAACTCACACCCCAGAAGTGACTCGAACCCATAGTCCCAGGAGCAACGCAACTGGTATGTACAAGACGCCTTAATCCACTTGACCATCACGACCGGACAAAATGAGGTGATAGCCGAGGCTATTTGAACCACCCCACCGCCGGCACTCGGATAGTAATCTTGGGCATAGCATTTTACCAAATCACCTCATTCTTTGGGGCACACGTGAGGAACACAAATGCGAACAAGCCTGAATGGTCCCCAGGACAATATGCAACTGAAAACTCACACCCCAGAAGTGACTCGAACCCATACTCCCAGGAGCAACGCAACTGGTATGTACAAGACGCCTTAATCCACTTGACCATCACGACCGGACAAAATGAGGTGATAGCCGACGCTATTTGAACCACCCCACCGCCGGCACTCGGATAGTAATCTTGGGCATAGCATTTTACCAAATCACCTCATTCTTTGGGGCACACGTGAGGAACACAAATGCGAACAAGCCTGAATGGTCCCCAGGACAATATGCAACTGAAAACTCACACCCCAGAAGTGACTCGAACCCATACTCCCAGGAGCAACGCAACTGGTATGTACAAGACGCCTTAATCCACTTGACCATCACGACCGGACAAAATGA